GGGAACGTCAAAAGTATTACATTGATCATTTTGAGATCCATCCCGTTAAGGTATCTACAGCACTTTGGTTTCACTATGCCCTCCTCCCCCAGGGAAGTTCTTTTTACACTGAGGAGGAAATGTAAGTCACGGAATTAACTCATTTTTTCTTTCCTATTAATGTTGCTGAAGGTTGTGGCAAGCTTTCTTCCTGGGGAATCTTATGCCAGCTATAGCTCCACGTAGGAGATGCTAAGATCTTTACTTCACAGTGTTATAAAGGTGTGTTACATAGTACTAACTCTGTCTCATTTACGTGACACCATTCGGTCGGGGTTGAGTTTAATATGTTCATTTGGCTTGTACATCACATTACTAGTTAATATCAGATAGAACACATCGCGTGAAAGTTTAAAATTTGATTGGTTAAATAAAGTTGAATTCATGAAACTTCTAAAAGTTGCAATCATATTACTACTAGGAGGATGTCAAATTCTGCCAAGGTAGAAAGAGTATACTGTAAATTGTGGATGGAACATTCAATTACTGTACAGCTGTTCACTTACTATTTAAGTAAACGTCTGTTCTTGATTTACCTGTGGTGTAACATTCTTTCTCCTATATCTGCATTTTTAGATACCTCCCATAAAAAATATGATAGTAGATCTCAATGGCATCCTTGTAACTCATACATTTGTCACTTTCCAGGAGTTGTCAATTAAATGTGTCCAACATTATTCCTGGTAAGCCTGTGTTATTACTAGTATGGCCTATGCTCTCAAAAATTATTATTGAATAGCAGCTGGAAATTGTCATTATCTCTATGTACGCAATGAGAGCAATCTACATTGCAAAGGGAAGTCCCTTGCTGCCACCAGCTTTTGCTTCTATTTCTGATGACTTAGCTTCATCATCTCTTGATGCTTTCTTTGATCCTTCTAGTGGGCTTCTTAATCTTCCTGGACTCACCGTTGGTATGCCCTTAGAAACTCCTAAATCCGTTGCTTACTGCTTGGTGCATTACTTTAGATGAGTATAGCTGAGTTACACAACCTATGTTTAATGGACAAGCATGGTGTGTAGCTAATCTCTTTTGATGCATTGGTGCTCTTATGGGGTCTTTTGTGGAAGTTCCTTTGAATTTGCCTGTGCATTGAAGTACCAGGAAGCAAATACTTCATGTGGAAATTAAGAATATTTTGCGCTTTAATTAGACTATTTGGATATTACAATCTTCTTATTTTGGGGAACGTGCCTTAGCAGATTTGCTTCTTAGCAAAAGATCTTCTCGTGTTGGGTGTGGTTTCTGTACAATATAGATCTTATCAAAAATTGAAGTTTGTTTAGCAAAAGTACCTTCTAAGTTGCAAATTAGGCAGGCAAATGAAAGTAGCTTGTCTATCTAGGCAAAGTCAGGGACTACTAACTCTGCCCATTTTCTTAAGCGCCTATGACAGAGAAAGTTCTTTCAATTTGAAATGCTTAATGAGATTATTTGTAACTTAATCCAACCTGATTACTAGAACAAATATAAGTCAAGGAGAGTTTCCAAACCATAAAACTATTCGCAAATTTGAATTTTAGGTGCGGATATATTAAATAGGATATCAGGACTTTTACACAGTACTTTATACCCAATTTTCATGAAAGTGATGACATCGGCTGCTTTTCCGGTCCAATTTTGCTTTATATGAAGAATTAGCTTGACAATCCTTGCTGCAGGTCTCTTCTATTAGAATTTACTGGCAAGTATGACGTTTTCCTTTTATTTGTGTATGTTGCCTTATTGAAGTCTTTGCTTGCGTTTTGGATGATAGGTACTTTCAAACTCATTAGTAAGTGTATTGACGGTAAAGGGTTTTCTGGAACAAAAAGATACTTCGGTGATCTAGGAAAACTGTAAGTTCTATAGTTAATTTTGTTGTCATGGTTTCTTTGCAATTGTCAATGGTGCCGCATAAGCTGTTTCCTATGCAGTTAAAATCAGCAGGATCAAATATCCTTTTTGCTGCTGTCACTGAAATATCAGACTCGGTTCTGAATGGAACAGAAGCTAGCGGGTTAAACGGAATGGTAAGAACATCTTATCTAATAGCATGCCAGATATTGTAACTACTAAGTTCCAAGCTTGAAACTTTCAATTAAACCTTGATTTAGTTATGAGTTTGGCATTATCTTAGGTTGTAGTTTGCCTCTGTCATCCAAATTTAATTTCATGCGTTCTTTCCAGGTGTATGGTTTTCATCAAGGAATACTTAAATTGGCAATGGAACCTACGCTATTGGGGAGTGCTTTCATGGAAGGTGGCCCTGATCGAAAAATTAGGCTCGATCGAAGTCCAAGGGTTGATGAGGTATGATACATTTGTGGTGATGATTTCTTATTTCATCTCAACTTTTTCCTGTAGAGATAACAGCTGCTGATGGTTGCAAACTTATGTTGTTTGAGTGGGATAAATCAATGCTCCATTTTATGTGCTGTCAGAGAAACATTCAGACATGTTTGGTCAAGGCTCAGTGGAGGTGGTCGTGTTGATTGACATAACTTGCATGGTTTTGGACACTCATGTCTAGATGGCCACTTCCCCTGGATCTTCATGACTCATCTATCTTGTAAAAGGGGAATGGATGAATTTTATTATGGAAAAAGTCTGCACGACATTGAATAACAACACTCTAAACTGCATAACACATGTATATTGGTGAACCAAACTGTTGTTGGAGTAAAAATTGTCAGCTATATACTACTCCATGACTTGAACTTCAGGTGCAACTGTTAAGTTAAATTTCCTAGCAAATTATGGAATTTCTAGTCATTTCATCAAATTATGCAGAGAATAGGAGTCGTTATTTCTATGGGCCTAAAAATTGTAGTATGGCCTACAGGAGTCCTAAGTCTTCTTTTTGGATGAAATAATCTGGCTAGATGGCCTCTGAAGAGCTTGGAAATTTAAAAAATAGCTATTGAGGAAACATTTAAATTCTGATAATCTGTTGCCAAGCTAACTGAATGAATATCTATCGCTAGTTTTGTTACATTATCCAATGTTATTGGTCTTGTTTCCAGTATGACAGTTTAGATGGTGCCGTCTTTCCTGTTGTTTTGGGGGCTTATAAAAAATTCCTAGTGCTGAATATTTCAATGCACTGGAGTTAGTGTCATTTCATATCTAGTGTGTGTTTGTGATAGGTTCTAGTTGTTCTAGCAGACAGATTAAATCATCATATAAGTGACTCTTTCGGTTGTGATGCAGCTTTACATTGAAGGGTATCTGCAAGCCATGTTAGATACATTGTATAAGCAAGAATACCTGACAGTCAGAGTCATTGACAACCAGGTAATTGAACTAAATTCTCAGTGCGTGTGTGTACTCTGTTCTTTCTTCTTTTTTCTTAATTATTTATAAATATGTCACCGCTGAAAAGTTCTCGCACTGTAGTCACCTTCATCATGAGACTGTAAACTTTTCTGTCAGAACTTTAGTAAAATTAGGAATACATGAGGTCATTGACAGCTTGCTTAGCTCTAATTTTTTTGTCATAGCAAATTAAGTGCACATGTAGTAAAGCCAATCTCAAAGTGTAACATGAATCACAAACGACTTTTATGTTCTTTATATTCTGAAGGTTATCCTCAAGAACCTACTACCAAGCAGTTCTCTTATAGAGGAGATTGTGGAACGTGTGAAGGGATTTCTTGTGAGAAAAACGTTGTTGAAAGGAGATCCTTCAATAGCTTCTCGCTCCTTGGGTCACATTAGAGGGGAATGTGTGAGTACTAGTATCTCAGTTGCATCTTGAATGTTTATTATGTAGTATGACATTTTTTTCTTGAAATGGGTATGCATATTAAAACATCAGCACAAAGGAAATGCTGGAATCAATATTTACAGATAACAAAATGCAAAATATCACCTGCACATCTCACATGGATCTATCTATGACATCTATGATAGATTCTGCTTCATCTACATATTTTTCTTTACATTGTCATCCCATGCTTCATTACTGAGTTATTCCAATTTACCGGCACTCTTTTGCATAAAGCACTATCTATTTGGTAAACACCAATCAAGGAAGAACGCTAATAAGAAACACGGATTAAGCTAAGTAAAGAATGCAATCCAAAGCCCCCAGAAGATATATCAACTAGAACAACAAATTAACATTCAAATACCAAAGATAATCCAAGAGTATGAACATGAACTCATACATGATAAACCTAACATAGATAATCTAAAAACATGGTAAATAAAGAGAAATAAAAGATACCCTAAACCTCTCAAGGTTTGGTCTTTGTTTATCAATCCATCATCAAAAGCTTCCTTTCAAATGAGAGGAATGCTATTTATACTAAAGTGCTATTTAGGCTAGATGACTAAAATAGGCTTCGGCTAGTAAGGAAGCTAAGTTGACCTAAATTATAAGACTATCCTAAATAGCTAAATTGCCAATATAGACTTCTTGATCTCGACTCCATTAAAGCACTCTAATGCTATGATGTTGGCTTGGAAATCATCCTCGTTAAGTGTGCTCATCCTGTTTGTATCATAAAGCTGATTGGCTGGTGTTTAATTTTAAGGGCTTGCTTAACTCATTGGAGTAATGTGCTTATCGGATCTTCACTCTTCCATCAACATTTCGCGTCTTCACTCTTCCATCAAATATTTATTCCTTGGGGATTTTATGCAGCTTTGGTAGTTCTGTTCTTGATGTCATTTATTTGGCTCTTAAATTTTGCTATGAGGTATTGTGAATTTTTTTTTGAAATCTTGGAAACTGACTTCATTATAACTGGGAGCTAAACCGTCGTCTTGTTACTGCATTTCTAGATAACTTATTGCATTTTCACCAGCCAGAATGAATGGCGTTCACTAGAGAAGAAGCTATCTTTAATATAACAACCGCCTTCCTCGTCTTCTATTGTCTTTTAAATATTAGCTTGATATATAGCAAATGTTGAAAATGATTCACAGTTTGAGCTGCTATACAATTGTGTACACTGTCTTGATTTCATGTACATGACTCTCTATATGTAAAAAAAAATCACCTCCTTGAATGTTAGAACATGCTTCTTTGAAAGATAGTAAACTATGTGATTAATTTTTGTAAGTAAAATGTGCTCTTGTTGGAGAAATGGACAATTTAGACATTGGGGGTACTTGCATGCTATTATGATGTCCTAAAGATGCTATAGTTGGAAATTTTCTGATCCAAATATTTTCCTTTCATGTTTATAGGAATTAGTTGAACTACTAGAACTCACTGCTACCTTATTTCATTTGAGTACAATGGAGTATTCCATCCAAATGGACAATTACTGTAAATGTTTTCTGTATAGTAAATTATTTCATTTGGATTTATTTCCTGGTTGTATAGGCTAATATGTGGTGTTAATATGTGCAGGCACAAGATAAAGGTCCAAATATATCCAAACAGCAGGACGTTGAACACAAAACACGAAAGTTTACTACCCTAAAGGAGACATGAAAAATACATATAGCAGTAATTTACTCCGAGTAACAAATTTCACATCAAGATGCTACACCAGCAAGAATTTTGAAATGTATTAGACAAACTTGTATAGCGAGTATATTTAGATGGTTGTAGTATGTAAAATGTAAATGCTATGATATATGTAGGAGGTAAGGCACATGTCCCCCTCCTTGTGTTGGACATGTTATTGAAATCTGCATCAAGGTCTTAGTGATTTAACCTTGATGTGTGTGTGTATATATATATATATATA